GTCGTCACGGGAGAGTACTGAAAACTTAACAGTACGATACATGGGAAAACATAATGAAAATACCTATGAAAACATAAGAAAACCTAAAAAACTTAAGAAACCTCGAAACCCATTCTTAGTACGTACGTCATATCCTCGGCAACCAGATGTTGCGCGCGCAAACGGTTTTAATTTCACAACAATGTATACAAATTATTTAGCTTTAAAATGACACAAAGTAATACAAAAAAATAATCCGGAGTGCGCGAAAGCGAAAGTTTTGGTGTATGTATCCCATTCTTGACGCTATGTACCGGGCCATTTCCCTTAAGAAACCTAAGAAACCTAAGAAACCTAAAAAACCTAAGTAACCTAAGTAAACTAAGAAACCCAAGAAACCTAAGAAACTTTAGAAACCATAACAAACGTAAATAACCTACGAAAACATAAGAAACATATGAAAACCTAAGAAAATTTAGAAAACGTTGGAAACCCAAGAAAACCTAAGAGGCCGAAACGTCTGGTTGCCGAAATAAGCGTCGGCCGAATCGAGCCTTGGCCGAAGTGAGCCACGGCCGAAATGTAACGCGGCCGAAGTGATCAGGCGCGGAGAATTCCAAACAGGTAGACATCAAACACCTCTCTAAGGTCGCCAATCCTCTGCGTCGAGTGACCTCTCTGTCTCCTTCATTTGGCACGATTAGTGCGGCGGGCATCACAATCCTTCCCATCCAAGTCGTTACTGAGTAGCACTGTGAATTTGTGATCCTCCATCTCCCGTACCCGTCTCCGTGGTGGGCTACCGATCACTTCGGCCGTTTTCATTTCGGCCGCGCTCATTTCGGCCAAAGTTTTCGGCCGCCACTCACTTCGGCCGCATAATTCTGCCGACGGTCTACGTATCAATGATATTCACTTTAATTGCCACCTTGCTAACAGCAAGACGAACCGATTAGTCCTGGCTAACAGTCAAATGTTCAAGAACCAAGAGAAGATATTGTACAAGGTCACTTCAAACGGAAATGGCAAAAAAATATCTCGTGATAGTCGATGATACAAAGTTTATCAGGTATGATACAGAAATGCATGAAACCAATAACATTGACTCTGATGAGAAACAGAAACTCTGCATTGCGTGAAAGAAAGAAGTTGCATTACATGTAAAACAAGTACCCAACATCAGCTACTCGGTGGCTAGCACGCGCTTCTGCTTCTTTATATCTGCGCGTTTCTTCAACAAAATTTTAAGCTTTTTCGCAACCGACTCCAAATACTCCATACTGGTCATCTGTCCATAATTTCCTGCGACATTCTTCAACCGTTTGGTTACCTGTACTTATTATCGCCGCGGTTTAGGCACAGCCTCTTCTGTCATACGGCTTGGAATTTCTGTTTCCTGGTGCGATATTTCCCGGCAGAACAGGTGGAAAAATTGATAGATTTCGGGATGATCCTTGTCGACGGTTTCCGCAAAGGTCTTGTGCCAAGCTTCGAGTCGGTTTGTCGTTCGATGAACGTCTTGTAGGAGTCTTTCGTAACAATTCCACATCTCAATTGCGTAGAGTGGCTCTTTATCTACGCACCAGGTTACGGTAACGACGGTTCGGCCAATATACGACGTTCGAATATATTGGAAAAAATCGTCAGTGGGGCAAAAAGGAAAACCCAGCTTGCAAAGCACCTCATTGAATACCCGTCTGACAGCGCTTGTCGGCACGAAAGCAAGCGCTAATACCATGCGACAGTGGTGGCTGAAGTCGGCATCGTTCGCATAAGCCAGTTTGTAGCCAAGATCAACCAGCTTCTGATGTATTCTTTGCCCCAAGTGGAAGTTGCAGCCTGTATAAAAAAGAGTTTGTTATTGCACTGCATGGAAGGTCCATAAAGTCTAGCAAGATATACAGTAGTTTCAATACAACAGAACAATGTACGAATAAATGAGAACGTAAACTAACTGCAAAATGTCCATTCTGATTTTACTTGCCTCTAGCTTTGGATTCCGGGAATATTGTGCTGAACGCCTTTATGGCGCTCTGTTAAAAATCCATAATCATGTGCTTCGGCCCGACGTTGCCCTGTCTGACCAACCGAACAAGAGCGTCGTGCACAATATGGAATAATCGCGTATAAAGCAACTCGCATTTTCCTGGGAGGAGAGCGTATACTAACGGCGCCGTTGCTCCATACACGTCGGCGTGTATAGTGTATAATTGCCGGAACACAGGTGGACTAACGCTGAACATACCATCACTCAACCACACAGATGACCGCATCAGGTGCCTGATGTTCGCTTCTGTTGCAAACACTATGATCCGATTCTGATCGTGTGCGCCGGTATCCTCCAGAAACACGTTTTCATCGCGAGGAGTTTCGTTTTTAAAAAATTCCACGTCAATTTCTGCAAGGTCCCGCACACGTGTCGCTGGGATGCCCGCTTCTCTGCACTCACGTCGAACAGCCCGGGCAAGGGCTCCGTAACTCGGCATCTGCGCAGTCGTGGTGAGTGAAGCTGCGTTCCTCACTTCTTCAATGAGCTGTCGGGGCCTCTCCACTGTAGCCTTTGCGCGGGCTTTTAGCTGTTCTCTAACAGCATTTCCCGTCGCTTTGGCAATATCCGGTGCATGCGAGTGCTGTCCAAGCTCTTTTGGTGTGCCTCCGTTATAATGAAGCCGAGCTTTGCAGTGGTCTTTCTCGTGGCATCGCCACAGCTCGCACACTTAGGTCTTTGTCTCTCCTCTTTTTCGCGCCTCGATATATTCGTAACCATGAAAGACTAATACTTTTCCTCTACGATTCGTATAAGAAAACGTTTACCTCCGATATAATTACGCTGTCAGCTCAAACTCAACAAAAGCATTAGAAATGACCTTTGATTAACAGGGAACGGTTGAAACAATTAACAGCAAAACGAAACGAAAGAAATTAAACATTCATATAAGGAAAATTTTCTGCCATGGGAAAACGCAGTTATCAGAGCTCTGTCCATAGCAATTGATTGGTTAAATCCTCACAAGACGCCATTTTCTATTGTTGCCTCAGCCACGGAGTATATCGGCCATATTCGTCCTGTGGCCGAAATGTCCTGTGGCCGAAATTAGCGCTGGCCGAAATGAGTGCCGGGCCTGCCGGCCGAACTCAGCCTCGGCCGAACTGAACGTCGGCCGCAGTCATCACGTGCGGCCGAAGTGATCGGACGCGCTTTCAGTCAGCTGCCGTTTTCCAAAAACTTGTTAAATGGCTCTAAAAATCGATAACTTCATTGTGAAACCTGCTATATTTTCGCAGTCGGTATCAGACGGTGTTATTTTCTAGAAAGCTTATATACCGAAACACTGTTATAGGCCAGCATGTTTTCATAAACTCAAAAAACATAATAATAAAATAAACTCAAAACACTTTCCAAAAAGTGTTTTTCTCAGTTTTTTTGTATACTTACAACATTTTTCATTTTTTATGTTGGAGAATATAAGCTTTCTAGGCTAAAACACATCCAGTGATGTGTATCACATCTAATTTGAGAAAACTTTCTCATTCGACTTTTGAATTAAAAGTTTTTCCTTTGTTTCTTGAATTGTGTAGCCAAACCCTTTGCGCATGCAGTCAGAACAATGGCAATTGGCAAAAATGATCTTTCGGTTGTTTTTAACCTATTCATGTTTTCCCAGACCCACTTTCATCTCATAGGGATCCCCTTAAACGACCGCATGTTTCATTTTGGGAAGATTAATTTGATCTTCTCGTATTAGTGAGGGTTTTATTTTGTAGGACCTATCGAAGCTTGACCCGACTACAACCGACTCCGTAGCAGCATGTACTGGGCACGTTGGTGATCAGGGAAACTAAAACATTATGGTTATCTGTTTTTAACGGAAAGTGGTACTGATGTTTGTACAACGTTATCGGTTTTCGGTTGACCTGCGCATTTATGAAAAGGGGATGGAACACGTAATGAACTTGTGCGGTAACTGTCAGTGTTCAGTAGTGCGATTGGTTTCTGAAATATTTATTTCGAAAATTGTTGAATGTGAATCCAACATAAAAATATTTGATTACAAATATCTACAATGTGGCGTAGGAAATCATCCCATAAAATACCAGAAAATGTGGATAACTGCGAGAAATATCCATCTTTCGATCGCTGCGGTGCAGCCGTAGTCAAGCTGAACAGACAGAGCTAAGTACTTTTATAAGAGGTCCGGACAGAGCGTAGAAACTTTTTGCCGATGCGATGTAAGAGCACAAGCCCCACCTCAGAACCAGGCAGAGGGAGGGCTTCTAGCCTTCCAAATGCCACGTATTCCAGTTTACTCATTCCATTTACAACTAGACTGCAGCTACACATAGCGCTCGTGAATTCAAAATATCCCTGTTGTTATCTGGTGGCTATTGCTTATTAAAGTGTACAAAATTTAAATTCTATGTGGATTTAGATATAAGCACAATAACCATGAAATTAATGTGACATAATAATATGCTATTTGTATGTGTATAAATTGATATGTTATGTGTAATTAATGAAAATTTCATTAATTACTAATAATAATTTCCTGACTACATTTAATGTAGTCAGGAATGACAAAGTATTCTTCGGATCCAGTGTTGTTATAATAAGTGCGATGTCATAACATTTGTAGGACATGTAAGTTTATCTTGATCAGTTAATAATGATAACCGATTTAATAATGTTATCGGGAATGGATGCCTTAGCAGTTTCACAGGAAGATTGTTTTATAACCATTGACTTGTATTAGTAGTTGGTTTTGGTAATTCCAGTGTGATGCTGGAACTCGATTCACGATAGCCATTGGTCAGGCATGCTCACTTTTACGATAGCTATTGGTCAGGCAGAGACTAATATGAATTGCCTATGTCACCGGACCCGGTATTTTATGGCCACCGGGTCCCGAAGACAATAGAATGGTTTGTTTGCACAGTCATCGCATCGGCGAATGCTTGCGCATAGGCAGATCATAGCGCGGCCGGACCTTGATAACTCTCTCTGCGCTCTATCGCTCTGTCTGTTCAGCTTGACTACGGTGCAGCTTTATTTGAGCTCGTTGACGCCGACATGTTGATCAACGACGTGCGCTGTCTGGAGACCGTTGACGATGGGCTGCCATTGTCCGTACGGTCGCACACCGGCCCGACTGCGCTTCGGGTTGTCCTTTTGCAACCAAACTGGTCGGCCTGGGCGAGATTTTCGGATCCATACCGAATCGATCACTATATAGCCCTGTGCCAACATAAGCAAAATTTATGCGCGCTAACGACATCTGCAAAAAATTTATTAGAACAATTCAACAATAGGAAAAGTACGAATATTTAAAATTTAAAATAAAAAAATAAGAATTCGAGAAAAATGATAAAAAATTCTCTCACCTGATCATCGGAGACTTGCTCGAAATACATGTGGGTTTTATTAACGACGGTCATCCGGGTGTATCCATAGTCCGTCGTACGGAACGCGCTGTAATTCGGTGGATTGGGGTTAAAGCGAGTGTGATTTTCCTTGCAGCCCTAGCAATCGAAGTCAACAGGCGTTTTTAGAAATTTTTGCATTCAGAGACTAAAGAAAGGGAGATGAAAAACTCATGCATTAGTTTATAAAGTTAACATACTGCGGAGCCGGTAATAATATGGACGATGCCCTTTGGATCGGTGTATGGATTCGTCTTGGATCCATTCATCACCTGGACATTATACACGGGCCATGTTCGTTCGTACGAATGCTCGTGTGCCCAGATGCCGACATCCACGCCGGCATCGTGCATCAGATCCTCCAAACCGGGAATGTGCAGATAAGGAATTCCGCGGCGGAACTTCAAGCATATGGATATTGTTGCACACGACGAATTAGACCACACATTATATACCTACATACGCTCTTATACATGCTGTGTACGCCTGCGTACACAATATGTAAAATATGTAAATTATCAATCATTCATAAAAATAGGGAACTAAATTTGGTGCCTATGAGAACCAGCAAAATGGTGTGTATATTCGATTAATCTAATTAAAGGATATTTATATCTAATTTTAATTAGAAGTAAAAAAGGTGCCTGTAAAAAACATGATCCAAAAGAAGAAAGAGTACGAAGATAAAAAGGGGTAGGGAAGAGCGATTTATAAACAGGATGACTACAGATTTTATAAATAGGATGATTACAGATTCTCGAATTCTTGTAAAGCATTTCACAATCAGCACTAAGTTCGAGTGGTACTAACCAGTTTTCTGCCACTGTATCCTGCCACTGTACTACGTTCAACATTATAAAGCTACTGAAGTCAGTTTATTCCTGTCCGCAAAAAAATCTATCAGACAAGAATAACGGCTACCAAACTGTTACTTCACAGTCAAATTATTAGGCAGTTCCACACAAAACTTCTTTTAAATGTTATTTTTCGAACACTCAATCTCTTTGATTTTTTGTCAAATGCTAACGCAGGCTTACCACATTGCCTTGTGGATTGCAGTCGACAATGTCTGGATTACTGCAGTACATGGGACGATGACCGGCAACAAAAAGCCACGCATTATCCGGATCTTTCGATGCTTTCTGTTGCAAATATTGCTCGTGATTTGCTTATTTCGGACACTTTTCCAATGGTACATACATCTAAATCGCTTGCCAACCAATCGAACTGGCGAAAAATCTGAGCAATGCCGTATTGCGGGAAGAAATAAAATTCGGTGGCAATCACGGAGACGTGCAGTGGACCGATATTGAAACTGTATTAACAAAAGGCTGTTTTGATTGCACAAGTGATAAGCACATGCATAGAAATTAATTACACAATAAAAATAAAGTGTACAGTACCTGTATAACATTCCTTCCTCGCTTCCGGGCGTTGTGAATCGTTGTCGGTAGTGCGAGAAATTGCTGAACAAACATGCAGAATCTGTACGTCTAGCTAGTGTGACCTTCGTTTGAGTTCATATGCTGTTTCGATAGTTTACATAATTATACGCACTATTTTTCCTCGTGATTGCCCACGACAACCATGTAAGGAATAATCGCTGAGAGCGGTTGCAAACTCCTCAGAAAAGCATCTCCAACATCGCCATTTTCCTAGTAAACGATAACTGGAGGAATATAAATATTGTGCAACAAAGCATGCAGCAGACTATGACGATGTGAATTAATAATTTGCAAATACGTATACAAAGAAAATTTCAAATAAATACTTACATCGTTCATATCGTAAGCAAAATCACCTGTAAAAAACAAGAGGGCGATAAATAATTACGTGACCAATTCCAAATCATAAGTAAATAAACAATTTCCATTTGCACCGGTGACACGAAAGCTGCGTACCAACATGCAGGACCATATCGTAGCGGTCTTGCTGTACTTCCAGTGTCATCTGCGCCAACGAACGAGCATTGACCTCGCCCATATCTCCGTACACGAGCAGTCGTGGACTCCAGTCCCTTCCGGCGGGGATACTGCGGAAACTGTAAATCTGACTCCAACCGTCATCACTGCCGCACTGGTAATCTATACGTACGATAAAACCGGTGGCCTTTTGTTCTTTTTATTCTATGCATGTAATTATTTACTATACATAGTTTCCTAGGACTGCTGCCAATCGTTATTTAATTGAACGATGCTTAATACTACCTATGAAGAATCGCAACATGGTACATACAGTAGCGTGTTGCCGGTTTCAGGCTAGTAAAGGTCACCCGGTGGATGAAGCGTTGTTTGTGGGCTTTGGCGCCGTCGGTGAACACCGTGCTGCTGCCGTCCACGACGGACAGGCTTTGGTTGTTCTGACTGTAGCGAACGCGGGTGATGGTGGCAGTGGAGTGGAAGGGTGACAAACATGCTGGCCGATTTACCTGCAGATTTAAAAGAGCGAGGCGCGAATTGAGATCACTGGTTATGCCCAAACGCGAGCGTACGAGAATGCAAAATGAGCAGATGACCAGAAAGAACGCGAAAATAACAGGTTGCATTTTAGCTATCTAAACATTACCCAACTGTGAAATCTTTTAACTATGTAAATTTTAATAACGAATCATTAAAATCCATTTGCTTTGAAGTAAAGTTTACTAAATATCTGTAGCCAAGCTGCACTCTCGTATAATACAGCATTTGTGCAGATAGCCGCTTTAATATTTAATTACATAAAACAGGCATGACATGCACTGCATAAGAACAGAATTTATTGTATGATTGTTCTTCATAAAGTTATAAACAGTACCAGATTAATTTGCTTATACCTATGCCCGCACTCGACGATCTTTTTTCACGTAGAACTGAACAAACCAAAGGAAACAAAATGCAATACGGTACTATATGAAAAAAACAGGCGCTCAATCGCAGTGATTTAAATATCCTACGGAAATAGTTCTGGGTTAGGCCTGGAGCGATGACCAGAAAGAACGCGAAAATAACGGGAACTGGATACAAACCACATGGAATACTATGTAAATTTTAATAACGAATCATTAAAATCCATTTGCTTTGAAGTAAAGTTTACTAAATATGCAGTATGCCCGTATTACAGCATTTGTGCAGATAGCCGCTTTAATACCACACATAAAACTTGTGCCAATCACTGCATAAGAACAGAATTTATTGTATGATTGTTCTTCATAGAAGTTATAAACAGTACCAGATTAATTTCTTATACCTAGTCTCACTCGACGTCTTTTTATACTGAACAAACCTGCAACAAAATGCAGGCCTGATATGGAAAAAATTAATAACATTTACAATGTATACTTCTATGCCTGACATTGCCTGTATGCTGTCATTTGCAGTTAATTGCTCAGTTAACGCAGTCATTTGCAGTTAATTTGCCTTGTATGAGCAATTGACAGAGTTGTTTATGTTGGTTAAGTACCTGTCCACGATAGATGGATTTGTTCAGGCAGATTGACATTGCTGGGAATCAGTGCACCCCAACAGGAGCTTACAATCCCCAGTGCTATCCAGCACAATGTAGGGGCTGCTAACTTCATCCTGGATAAGTTTCTCTCCCTCGAACCAAATCTTCGATCTGCAGAAAATTTGGAAAATAAATTATGTGTTTAATTACACCTTCTAAAACCAGTATGTCATCCACATAAATTATAGGGGCGCCTTCTAGGGTAGATCACAGAATGATATGAAAATTATAGTTATGGTACTCCCAACGTACTTACAATCAGCTGGCAAATTTACTCACCTGGAGATCGCAGAACACTTCCCTTTAATTAAAATGTTGATAATCCAGTCTCGCTGGTGTCTCAGTTGTATTGACACTCCAGAATGAACCGTCAACACTGAAGTTCATTTGGCCACGGATGTCAGTGTTTGATAGGTTCTTATCTCAAATTAAGTAATCAGTCACCATGATCTCGGGAGTGCTAGTACATTTCAAATTTCAGCGCTAGCGACAGCGAACAGATTAATTTTATGTACAATTATCTGTACAAATATGCACAATTATTAATATTATCTGCCCATTCATGGCGTAACTTGTATACGTAGGACGTTAGGACTATTATGATGATGCTATATACATACGTAATACCTATATCAATATGCCAAAATTAATGGGCAATATCGTATTTGTACAATACATACGTACTGTATACTATATTTATATAGATATAAATACAATGGCAGAGCTGATGGATGTCCTTCTAATATCTGTACAGCAATTATTCAACTACCGGTAAATAAAAGTATTCACTATTAATAATCATTGATTTTCGTGTTGAAGTACTGATGACGAATTTAAATCGGATTTTCTTGTAAAAGAATAATGTTCCATAACCATAAGCAGAGTGCCTGTCTTATACTAAATCTAAAAGCAGTAATAATTATTAATAACGAAGTAAGTATCACCTGAAACGAAATATTAACGATAATAACTATTATGAAGTACTCGTACTGTAAGTATTTCCGGTCTGGTGCGGGTATACTCTTATCTATAATAATATAGATATTCTATATTAACAGAAATGTTAATAATCTATCTGTACGAATGTACTCGTACTATTCTTATCTAATTTTTGGCCGTGAATGCAATTTACGATTATGTTTATGACTTTGCGATTTGATTCCACTTGTGCGATTGTGCTGACTCATGCAGCTATTAATAAATGTTTCGTTTTGTTCTAACCCCGTAGTGTTGTGCTTATGCCAGTATTTCACCATGAATTCTAATAATTATTTCTTTTTGATACAAAGCATCATTTAACTATTCTTTTTAGGTTTATTGCTTATTTTAATTTACTTGTTACAATGTTACAGCACGTTTACAATTAATAGTTGTAATTATGTTATAACATCATCGCAGATTATACATCCACCGATTTGTAAAACCATAAGAAAACAATGAAATACAAAACCGTGTCGTACGTTTACCAAAGAAATATTCTGCAGCGTGCAGAGATAGATTTCTCTTCCATCGCAATCGTACGCGAAGAAATCGGAAAACGATAAGCTGACACTGCGTTCTGGCATTTATTGGTATAATATAAACGACATACATCACTGAATTCCACTGTTGCTCAAAACCACTAGGCCATCAACTAACTTCGAGAACCTGCGCGAGATCGTCAAGCAGAGACGACCCATCGCTCCTCCAACTATTAGAAACTACCCAAAACCACCAGATCCAGCTGATCAATGGGACATGGGCACCGTCCCCGCGGGGGCCTTGGGGGTGGTCTTCATTTTCTCCAGTTCGGCCTGCAGTTTCTTGCTGAACTCATCCTCCAGCTCATCATCGTCCCACTTCTCCGACCAGGCCGTGGCCTTCTCGTCGTCCTTGTTCTCGTCGGCCTTCCCCCAGTCCTCCTGGGGGAACTCCTCAAAATCATCATCATCATCCAGGAAGAGCAGATCGGCGACGCGGGACCGTTTGGGCTCGGTGTCGCCTGTGGCGTTGGCGTCCTTGGTGGTGTCGTCTTTCTTCGATTCTTTCGTCTTATCAGCCATGGTGTCAATACGTAGAGGGAATGCTGGTAGCGAGTGATGTATTAAAGATTCTTCGGAGATCAAATTCTAGCTGAAATTCGTAAAAACCCAACGGTATAATTTTCAAAACATGAAAAAATCCCGCTATCAAAATCATACACAGATACTGTAATGTACGACACGAGACGGGAAACCGAAAAGTGAAAACTGAAAAAACTGTAAACTGCGATGGCAGGTGCGGAGCCGAGCCTCCCTGCCAGGGGCAGTCTTTAAAGCACAGTAAAGCAAGCGAAATGATAAGAAATACGATACTGTATCATTGATTTTGTGAGGGTAAAATACGTAATTAATCTGGATAATCAGATTGGTACCTGTCGTTGTATTTCACTGCTTTCACGGTAAGTAAGATTTGGACGGTAAGTACCTCCCTTTACTTAAATTTCTTTCTCAACAACGTTCACATGCTGGGACATGCAAACTGCAGGACGAGTAACCGGCAACCACAAATCTTAATGAATTGCTCTAAAAATTTTATCATATTCGCAAAAGCTTATAGGCCATTCCCACGTAAATTGTACCGTAACTTATACCTAATCCGGATTCCAAAATATTTATACCAGTACAAGCATTCTCATAAAGTCAGCATAGTGTATTTTTTAAGTGATGTTATTTCCTAGCGCTGCCGTTGTACAACAAACTGATCCAAGGCATTTTATACGTACTTTTAATTCCATAGGAAAGGGCACGAGGTCCCAATAAAAAAACAGTCTGGTGTGCGACAAAACAATTCCTGTGCTTACAAACAAATGTTAAGAAAGTAATCAAATCTAAAAATAAACTAACAAAAGATTCGCATTTATTATCACAATCGTTAGTAAAAGAAGCCAAAAACTCCATCGGCAACGCCACATTAGCTGCGAAACGTGATCCCTCGCGCAAAACTCTTCACCGTCTGCCAGCTGAGCACCCCCGCCGCTAACGCCTTCTGCTGCTTATGTGCGTACAAACAGCGGAGATTGTAGGCCGCTTCAAAGGCCAGAGAAGCGTTGTCGTCCGCCGCACCGTCGTCCTCGTCCGTCGTGTTCTGGATCAGCTGCAGACACTTATGGTAGTACTCCACCGCGTTCTCCGCATCACCAAACAGGTGGTAGGCGCGCGCGCGGTTATACAGAACTTCCGGACAATATCCACGGTTGTCGCGGTACTTGTCCAGATGACGCATACATTCAGCGTACAAGCGCTGTTTCTCGGCATCCGACACCCGGAAACGACAAGCCAGATTAGCGCATAAAGTACCCAGGTGCAGGAACACAATCCAGGGAACGTTAGTCTCACCGTCGCGCTGAACGATTTCAGAATACTGCAAGAAAAAAACATTTCTTACCGACGTCAAAACTTCCGAAGACTAAGGTTTACAGAAAACTACGACATAACCAGTAACTTAAAAACTGCAATAATTCCAATCCAACAAAACCTAATTTGTATCAAAATCAGCAGACCGATGAAAATAATCGAGCATGATTTGACAACACAAATATGTACTGTACTACAGCAATGTGGGGTGTCCGGCAAAAAAATTATGACAAGAGTTATCTAAGCAACTGAATCATCTAAATTTCAGATCCCAAATTGAGCCATTCTCTGTAACAAATTTCCGTACCAATTTGTGTGCGTGTGGATAGCTGCCGCGGCGCATAGAATCATTGGCCAGTATCATGGAGATCTCCCTCTTGTACCCGTTTTTCCCCACCCAGTGCGTGGCCCATTTGACCACTTGACCGGGTTCCACCAGTTCCGGATTGGTGGCCAGATGGTAGTAGAAACTCCACTTGTGAACGGAGAAATCGCACTCCTGCCGCAGCCGATTCAGCTGCTCGCGGAGATAATCAAAACTGAATTTCCTAGTGTTGACCACGGTACCGGTCAACGGGTCGGGCTCATCACTGGGTGGAAGATAAAACGCGGCCACCACAAGAGCTTCCTTTAGTTGATCCAACTTCTTCGGGATGACGGCAATTTCCGTTGTACGAATGCTGCTGAATGCAATACTAATCATATCAGCATATCTGCAAAAACAGCAGCATGTTTCACCAAAGAAAACACAAATTTGCATAAGATGCACCGGATGCACGCATACGTATGCAAGCAAATCGAAAACACAAACAAGCCAAACAAACACCGGTGCACGACGCTTCTCCTTTCGGAAAACGCATCAGCTATACACAAAAACCCTAAAAACAATGTTATTAAGAATTTTAAATGCCATTTTAAAATTAATGAAAATAGATCCATCATGCCCAGCACTAGCGAGATACGTCCGATTAATCGTACAAATCGCACGTACATTCACACTTTCACACTCCGTGAACAACGTAGTTCATGGGCAGATGCCAAAATCACGTTGACATTAGTCAACCACAGAATAAATTACTCAACAAAAAAAACAGTCGTTCATAATACGAGACACCCCAAAAACAACCCAAAAACATTTCTGTTTTATGACATTATTTTCAAAATTAAAATATAGGTTAACCACTAAAAAATTATAACCATAATTTCTAGTTCTACAAATTCAATCGCGCTACTGAATCGTTAAATTTCACTTCACCTACCTATGCATTTTGAACGCCGTACAGCAACCGTCCATGATCGCTCGCCAAAACTCTCCCAACTTCACTTTCTTTTCCGCCAACACCGGCGCCGACAGTAAATACCTCTTCAGTCCCTTCTCCAACGCATACGGAGTATGCAGCGCCCACAGGAATTTCCCCGGTTCAATGGTCACCGCCCCTTCAAAACTCTTCTCCACCATCTTCAACACATTCGCCACCACCAATCCATCGGCGCGCTCCAACAAGCGGCAGTTCACGTAGTCGGAATACGCCATCAGCTGTTCGGCGACGAGCTTCTGGCGAACATTATCGCTCAACGTCGACACGGCCACCGTGTTGGGAAACTCCATCTCCAGGGCGGTCATACGCAACTGCGCAGGCCGGAAGTCGGGCTTTTTAGTCAGACAGATGTCGTAGGAGTGCAGTGCCGCCGTGACATCCTGGCAGCTTTCGTGGACGGTGCCGGCGAAGAAGTGCGTCTCCTCGGTGCAGGTGGCGAAGATGACCGTGGTGATGTACTTCATCACTTCACGGGCGGTTTGCGGTTGGCCGTGGTTGAGTAAGGCGCGGGCGAGACGCAGCAGCTGATCACGCTGGTCCGTCTGGATTTCACTAAAATCAATAGAAATAAACCAACAAATTCTTTGCGGAGTCAGTCACAATCGTACATCGACATTCATTCTACAACAGATTGCAAAACACATCTTAATTCTGAGGTCTTGGCAGTCAATTATGAATAGTTTCGGTGGTACGAAACATTAACTTAATTAAACTGTTTTACCAATAAAGCTCAACGGCGTTCGATTTACAGTAATTCAAAACAGTTCAAAACAGGAAAGTCATACTTCAGAAACCTTATATCATGTATACAGTATAATCATATGAAGAAAGTGCAAATATAGCTTTCTCGGAAAAAAAATATTCTATGCCGGAAATTTTGAAAATGAGTTTACAGTACACATAAGCAAAATAAAACTACCTAATAACACAACAAATTAGCCTAAATATTGTATGAAAGATATTTTTTTAAAAATCAAATACAGCAATCAATATACACACTTGCATAAAGTCGGCGTATAAAACTTAAAACAAAACCGCTTACACTGTAGTCGTCTTAACGGGCGTATTCGCGGGGTTAATATGGCTGCCAATGAGTTTCTTAACCAGAGGAAATTTGGTCTGATCTGTCTGGAACAACGCCGTACAGATAGCCGCCACCAATCCCACATCCCCAGCATATTCTTCCTTAATCCTGACCTCCTCCGCACTCTGCCACGAGAACGTGCGGCGCCGTTCGCCACTCTTGCGATCCGTGTGGAAGATCTCCACAATCTCCGCATCATGGATAATCAGCGACGCGGCATCGTCCGGGCGCGTGCAGTCCAGGTAGGCCGTCAGGAGGAGCATCACCGCGGGACGGATATTCATTTCCTGCGTGGCGGTATCGCGGCCCAGATCCTGGACACGGGATAACATCAGCTGGACAAATTCGGTCAGGAATTTCACCGCTTCCTCCGGCTGCTTCAAGGCCAGATAGTATTTGGCAATGTTGACGTGCAGTGGAATGGAGTCTTCTTCCGAGCAGTGTCGCACTTCCAACGGCAACAGCTGTAGGGAGTATTTCAGTTTGCCCTCCAAATTGTTGTCCTAAAAAATTAAAACACTCCTCAACTGTCATTTCCTCGCAGTTAAACAAGCATTCGTCCCCTCATTGTTTTACTGCTTAATGAAAAATTTTACTGAAAAAAAACATCTAGAACTAGTAAAACCAGAAAAAAACTAAAACGAACCGCAAAAATTATTACTAATTACATTACGGAGTTCTTTAAATTCTTATTTCATGCGTATCGCTTGTATCAGTACGTACTCAATTACGATCCATCAAATCATTCAAATGCACTAATTCTCGCTGCCGAAGCCTTAAATGATGGCTCAATTTTAAATTATGGAAAAAAAATTAGACCCAGAACAAAATCAAAAGCTACAATAACAAATGTTTTAAAGGCGTAATAAAGAAGCTATTGGAGAGATTCTTATTTTAGAAGGCCGATACACATTTTAGCTGTGAACAAATTTTCGATTAAATACTTTCCGATTGTTAAATTAATAGCCTCAGCACAGAATACGAACAACTCGTATGTACAAATAGTGCGAGCATGAACAGACAGCACTTTAATCGAAGTGCTGTACAGTACGCTAATGTGCAAGCAAGATATCGTCAGAAGAAATCAAAAATTAAAATAAAAATATTAATATTGATAACAGTTTTACAAAATTTAAATCATGTATTACCTCGATCGCATTATCGATTTCCCGAAGATATTTCAGTCTATCCTCATCCGACAGGTCTTTCAAGTCCACTAAGGCCTTCCAGGCTTTCAGCTGCTGCCCTTGTTTCTCCAGCTCTCCGGCCAGCTGTTCATACGTTTCCCACGCGGCCCGCGAATGCTTCTCCATCTCCACTAAACGCTCCGCCAATTCGAACGCCTTTCCGTTCTGGCCCACCCGCATATAACAGGTGATACACTGCGCCAAGACGGCCGCCGTACACAGCTCCACCGGGAGACGCTCAAACTTGGCCAGTGCCTCATGCCACTGTTCCGCCAGACATAGATCCGTCACTTGCCGCAATTCATGCTCCATGTGCGGGAGAAGTTTCATCTTCTTATTGGAGCGCGATAATTCCGGATCGGGGCTGTTTCTCAGGCCCTCGTAGTCTTCTGGATGCAGGACACTCTTGGCCCTCGCGATGACGGCGCGAAATGTCTGCGTGCGCTTACGGGAGCGCACCGAGGCACGACTGACGGTCGGGGGAACAGAAGACGTTCCCGCTTTTTCTTGATCCATTTCTATCGGTGGATGACGGAAATAATGCAGTGTAAGAGAGGTTACATTGGTTCTCTTGAAAGAGGAAGGAAAAAATTGGAAAATGCTGCAAGAACCTTTGACATGCGTAATCGTGTTGATAAACAGTGCACGTTACGCAGTGGAACGCAGCCACTGCGCTAAACAATCCTGCTCAGCGTAGCACAGTGGCACGTGCGGCAAGTGCAAGTGTGATGCGGGGTAGCGTTGCGAAGGCGGTTCATATATGCATTTACCGGGTTTTGCCCCATACCACCAATGGTATGCTGATTAGGGGTGCGCCGGTGCGGAAGCTAGGTTAGCCCCGCCTTCAAAGTGTCACTGGACTACTGTATATTCACGCCATTACAAAATCGATGGGTTTGTTTACTGTTTAGTTTTATCACAAACTTCGAACCTTACAGTTTAGAGGCTTCTGAAGTTTGCATATCTAATCAGATATTTTCTTGATAACGCCACGAACGACTGCCTTTGAAAGTTATCAGTTCTATAATTTCTTGTGCGCAGTAGTAGGCGTTTGTTCGATCCCAGTGCGCAGTAAGCTTTTTCCATTGTAAGCTTGCTTTTGGACTGACTCTCACGTCAGTGTGGTCCGCTGGCAAAAATGGTGGTCCGTACCATTATTTACTCTGTGGAATCCAAACCGATCAATCCCACCGAAACACCATGCATGATCGTGGGACATTTGAATCTACTGCGCATTTCCCTGCCCTATGATTCCATCAAGCACAAGCTGGGGAATGTCGTCAGTGCGGAGACGTACGCGGAGGCTGTCAAGCGTCTGCAGCCGAGCTCCGTGGCGGACTATATTCCGTTGGCGCTGAACTGCGCGGCCCTGGCCGCACTGCCCACCAAATGCTCCCGGCATAACGCTCCGTCCCAGCCGCATGCGCTGTATAATATCCTCAAAATCTGGGAGCCTCCGACCAGCGTGGTCAACGGTGTGCAGGATAAGCATATTGTGGTAAGCATTATTTTGTTTACGTACTATTACCACAGAAAAGGAAAATACACAGTATTTTCCTTTTCTATGGTATTACTGTGTACATTTTTCTAATGAGTCTTTCTCATTACATACACTATTATTTTAGATTCTCTTTATGATTAATACATTTTCAGTATTCTTAGTATTGATAAAAAATGTTTCAGTCATTTTTGGTTTTTTTACAGTTTTGAACATCTTGAAATATAACCACATACTTATTATTTACCTGTAATTTTAGTAATTTTTTTTATTTTTAAAATGTGTATGATCAAGTGTCGCTCAGTGAAAATGCATATCACGTTATACTTTATATAAAAAGTGTTCGCTCTACGTCCAAGGACCAATCCACTCAGTTTGTTCAATACAGTTAGAGTGTGAATAGTCAAAATCTACTGATAATAATTCCAACGATTGATAGCCACTTCGCTACGTAAGCACTAAGTAGCAGTTTATCTAAGAAGCAAGCCCGTCGGGGTTTTTTTACTTAAAATTACAAGTTGTTGCATTTCGCTGTTATGTCCCAATTCCCGCGCTGTTATTACGTTGTGACATACGGGAACCACATATGAATCGTTAATAGAGAAATTTTTCTATGGTTTTGTTACAAGTAAGTACTGGTATAGGCGTACAGCGGATCTTTCCGAGTGGAAATGATTGTGTATAACCGTCCAGGTTGCATGTTTTCCGCAAGACGTCTTCAGCCTGGGCTGTGCCATCTCCCGTGCCTTTCCGCTGTATTCGGCCAAAACCGGTTCCGTCTTCGCCACGAAGAATGTGCCGGATGCCGAGGGTAGCTTGCCCGCCACACCTACCAAGGATTTGAAGAATGAAGAGAAAGAAAACCGAGTCATTGTGGAGTTTATTGTCATCCCCAATCCGGACGCGCCCATGGAGTTTGCACCGGAACCCGTCACTAGTCGCACATCGATGGAACTGTTGGGCCAGATCGGACAGAGTATCCGTTTGGCGGCGAAAATTGTCGATATGCCGTGCAACGAAATGCATACAACGGCGTTTGTCAAGGTAAGAAAGACTATGGTCACCGATCATTTCTTACTGTTTCAATGTGGTGTAGGAAGTTATGTACAGCTCTGTATGTATTCGCACAGAGGCTAAAGTTTGAAGCGCAATGGTAGTCTCAGGAAACGTATTCGTGTAAGTTTGTAGTGGAGGTGTTTGCATTACCGAAATCAGTTTTCGTGTTCAGATTCCCTATATACAGCCATGGCTTTTTAAACTGGTACCAAACTCCCGATCTTTCCACACTGATTTTCTTAAGTATTGCACTCATCGTACAGAGGCACAGCCCTATCACGAACGGTATAAGCATCAACCGGGCTGCACCGGCGCAAATGTATGCAATACTGATTCGGCCTTGCCTTTGAAAATTAAACTGCTATAAGGCTGTGCCTAAACCAGGCGGCTTCTAATCTATGCGTCACACCTAATATGCAGCGCTTGCCGTTCTTCATCCCAATTCAATAAATTGCTTTATTAATTTTAGAGTTAATAGCCACCGAAGGTTCATTTCGTTTATATCGATGTTGAGGCAGGTTTTGATTAGTATTATTATCACAGCAGCTGTGTTCCTAATCCCTATCATTTATAAGTTTTCGTGTTACAAATGAAGCAGATGCGACAATAATTTTCGACAAATGACAATCATTACGAAAGTTTTCACAGAATCGCTCAAAATCCACTGAATTCAGTAGGCTTATTTACTACTCTTCACGGTAATAGCAGCGTGCGATTTCTGTTTAAACCAACCAGCCAACCGATTCAAATTTTAGAGTATTTCTTAAGTTAACGGAACTGTCTGTGTTCCTTTAAGATACAGAATATTCGTAACTTTGCACGCAGCAACAAACTAAAAGCTGAAAACGCAATTTTTAAGTTACAGAGCACGTTAAGTGCGCACCGAGAGGGCCTACTGTAAACTTATTACTACAGATACAAGTACACCACTACAGCACTATAAACATCATTAAATAACTAAATACTATTGTAATTATTGTAGTTGCCTGCGAAGGTTGAAAATAAACAATAACAATGGTGTCTGATTAATCAGGCAGTGCAAGATGAACAGGGATCGAAATACGGCGAAGATGCAGAGTTTACGGTACACTCCAATGATTCACTGGGGCCGCTTAACTGGTCAAAATCATAAAGGGTGGCATTTTACAGGCTGTTTCTGAACTACTATCTGATGTACCTACGCTGATACTGTAGCTCTTTGAATTTGATCACTTTTCTTCGAGCTGGTCTTTGTTTGTATTTATTGGCGGTAAAGATTTCCGTTTTGGAATAAATAAAAATCAAAGCAGTACTTGTCGTGACGATGTACCGCATTCTTGTATTGAAGCGGCTCTTTGAGTTTTTATTGGGTGATCCGTAGTGTTGCGGCAACTTTGCACAATCAAGGAAATCGACCTGCGTCGAGCTTGAACTGTATTTCGTAGTGAATTCTTTGCATCTCTTAATTGTCAGTTTTTGTACTGGGTTTTTGAAAAGATATTTTTCCCACCGTATACTTTCTTGGACAGGAAGCCCAGCAGGTAGCGAAGTCTATCGGTGCGGAGATCAAAGTGATCGCCGGCGAGGAGTTGCGGGAACGGGGCATGCACGCGTTGTACGGTGTCGGCCAAGCGGCATCTAATCCGCCGTACCTGGTAATTTTGAGCCACAAGCCGAAAGGGAACGACAATGTCGGTTTGAAGAAGATTGCCTGGGTGGGCAAAGGCATCGTGTTCGACACCGGTGGACTGTGCATCAAGACGCCGAAAACCGTGATGTGCGGGATGAAGCGGGATTGCGGGGGCGCGGCGGCGGTGCTGGGCGCTTTCCAATCGGCTGTACAAGCGGTATGAGAAAATTCACAGGGTTTGCACGGGCATTTCAAAAATTTTGTCGTCTTCTTTACGAATTATTAGCTCTTCATTCACTAAAACTCTTTGTCGGTCTTTTTGTGTTTTGTTCGGACTGCGTTATCGATAAGCAAGTGGATAAAACCCTTTGAACAACGTTTTTATTTTGAAACATTTTCGTGTAATGTTTTCATGCTTTGAATACGGCGAAGTCCGAGGCATTATCGGTGCTGCTGCGTTTATTGTAAATACTCGTAATGAGGCGAATAACTCAGCTGTTTCATGCGAATACTTTACTTTAGGGATTCGAAAACGAACTGTATGCAATCTTGTGTTTGGCGGAGAATGCCATTAGTCGCGACGCCAGCCGTCCCGATGATGTGGTCTACAGCTACTCTGGAAAAAGCATTGAAATCAACAATACTGACGCGGAAGGACGACTTGTACTTGCCGATGGCGTAAGTTCCGGAAGCACATTTTTATGAGAAACTTAAGACTGATGCTTAATCTTTCAAATATATCTGTTTTCAAAATACGTATGGGGGCCCGGGATGGCACCAAATCGGTATTGACCCAAAGAAACTCCACGTGGGACTGGATAGTTTACAACTTCATATTAACACCCAGTCCTTTGTTAAATAATTAGTATTCGTATTTTCTGTGTGTTATGTGAATTGGTAGCTTCATAAACTAGTATAAAAATTTGTTATAAAATAAGTCCGCATTAATACGCATACGCAAAATAAAAGTTTTCTTTTAGTTTAGGTATGTCAATTTGTTACGGTCGAAATTGTAATTTTGCACGTCTCTCGTTGGGTTTTGCGCTTATTAGTATAACCAATGAACTACGATGTATTATAGTTATCGCGTACGCCGTGGTGTGCCGTTTTGAAAACGTTGCAGATAACGCTTTGCTTTGCTCGTAACAGGTTACGTACGCTCAGCGAGATCTAAAATGTGACATTATTGTGGATATTGCCACCTTGACCGGAGCGCAGGGAATCGCTACGGGCAAACATCACGCGGGGATTGTAACCAACAACGCTAACTGGGAAGATCATGCGTCCCGTATTGGAAAAGTTTCGGTAATTGACGTACAGTGTCAGAGGTCTTTTTGCAAATGCCATTGCCGTCAAATAATTTCTTCCTTTCTGTGTAAAAATAAAATTGAACTACCTAAGATAAACCATTATTATTGTGCAACAATTGTACAGATTTGCTGTTCGGTTAGTTTTTCGTGCTGCCGGGAATTTGTGTTATTTTCACGTTTCACGATCTGTACGAGTGTTTTGTGCAGGGTGATTTGGTCTTCCCTATGGTGTACGCACCGGAGATGCACTTCAGTGAGTTCAAGAGTGCCGTGGCCGATATGAAGAATTCGGTGGCCTGCCGGGAGAATGCCACGGCGTCCTGTGCCGGTCTCTTTATCCTGAGCCATTTGGGCTTCGACTGGCCGGGTGTGTGGATGCACATCGACATGGCTGCGCCGGTGCATAGCGTAAGTACTAAGTACAATCAGAAAATGTTGTAGCAGAGTACTGTATAAGAACGCAAGTTTTTTTTCGCCTAAATAACTTATGCTTTTGTTGAAAACCTGGTTGAGATTGTCTTTCCAGCTTCTTTCCAGTCTCATTTGAAACACGTTGTAAAAGCTTCCAATGCCTTTGTGGAAATCTCTGCTCGAAACTCTTGAATTGTTTTGTAAAGTAAAATTGTTTTCTTTTTATTTCATATAGACGTTTAAATCTAGTAATTGTATGGAATATTATGAAATTTTTATACACTTTGAAATGTAAAATACAACAGCCTGCCGTTCGCTGCGAAATCTGTATGTGTGTTTTAACTTTACTGGTGGAAAGTTTGTCGAAGCGTTCGAATGTACACTTCGCCGTAATTGGATTTAGGGCGAACGGGCCACTGGATACGGTGTCGCACTGTTACTGGCCCTTTTTGGACACTGGTCCCGCAGTCCGCTTTTGCGCAGTCTGCCGAAGATGGCCGATATTGTGGAGCAGTTGCAGCGGAATGCCGTGACGAATGACTTCAGTCCGCCGTTGACGCAGGAAGCTGGGATCCGTTTCAGCCGCCAAAATCCAGCGGAAAAGTGATGATATGCGCAATGATTAATTTGGTTGTCCTTTTCTGTTGATTATAGATTTTCTTCTTCCCTTTTTATTATACAGTTGAAATATGGCTTTCATTTTTTCTCTGCTGGCAGATTATTTATTGACTGGCTTTTTTGATTATTTTCTATTCCACGTTAGACTTTCTGGTCATGATTAAGCCTTCTTCCTTTTTTTTAAATTTTTTCAAACGCGTATTTCGTGTGTGCGTTAGTATTTAGACCGACCAACGATAACGAAAACGTAGTAATTTATTGCATATTTTGAAATTGAAGTGCCATTGGATAAGTTGTCACCGGTACACCATCAACCCACAGCAACCATGATCGAAAAGCTGCAATCAGCAATGTACTCGTATCCAATAAGTAATTAGAGATGCAAAGTAAAATACAATCAATATTCTAAAAACATATAATTCTATTATTTTCTTATCTGAAAATGAAATACAGTATAATTATTTTTTTATTGAAATACAGTATAACGTGACACATATATGCACTATGCAGATTTTTTCTTCCTTTAACAGTAACGAATGCAGAAGCACAAAAACAGTAAAATTACATAGGATAATATTATGTAACGAATGTTCTGGCTGAGTATGTTTTTAACTCGTACGTATGATTCGGTTTTGGTTTTGGTTTTAATGCTTAACGTCTGCAAATACAAGGAATCACTCCTTATCGAGATTTGCAGACACGGTCAGTTAAAAACTTCAGCGGAAAAGTAGTCCCTCCACAATAATGCAAGTACAGAGTAAAGCACAGCAAGCATTCACTCGCAGAAAAAGTACACATTGGGCAAATACTGTCAACAAAATAACATACAGTTCAGGAATGCGCATCAGCGACAGAAACAGGATTCAGTACATCCATTCCCTAACAAAAACATTGGGCGGCCAGATTTCAGGGTCCAGGATTCAGCAATAAACATAATGTTATCACCGAGGAAGAACCGCCGTGCCGTAGGGTGACGGTTGCAGCGTGACCCCCCGGTTCATGGTTAGCGGACCGGGTTGCTTGATCCCCGCCGGTAGTATCACTTTGAAATTATGCAATAAATTGGCAAACAGTAGGAACACTTCTTTCCGCGCCAGCTGCTCTCCGATACACGAGCGCCGTCCCGCCGAAAACACCACATGGAAATCGGGCAATTTCAGTTTACCGTTCTCCAGGAAGCGTTCGGGCCGGAAATCGTCCGGTGCCTCCCACAACTCCGGATCACGATGTATGGAGAACAGGTGGAACATGATGCGAGAGCCGGGCGGGAATTCATAGTCGCCGATTTTCGCTGTTTCCGTGGACTGATGCGGTGCGGTGAAGGGGAATACCGGATACTGTCGCAGCGTCTCCCACATGAAGGCCTCCGTGTAGGGCAGTTTATCGCGGTCATCCCAGGTGATTTGTTGAGTTTTCTCCACGGCTTCGTCCATTTCCCGGTGGATGCGGTCCTGTGCATCGGGATGGTGGAGCAGCAGTAAAAGAGCCCTGTAAAGTGATCCGTGACCTTTAAGTTACGCTAAAGTACAAAAGCAGCAATTCGAAGTATTTACTCCGAAATGTTAGTGCATACTGTATTGACGGCAGGTTTGGTAAAGCTCATTTCGTGGACAAATCCCAAACACTGACAAAATTGAGTAGTTTAAGCAGTAACATAGTTTGCAGTTATATTAAAATGCCTGTTACTCTTAACCACTAAAAAGTTGTTATCCATTCCAAGGACGGGCTAATTTTATCTCGGGAAATAATTAATCAAAAAAGTATATTTCTACCGTTTTCAAAATAACAAAATAATTTATAGTAGTCGCCTGGTAAGATTAGCATTCATTATACGAGTACAGAGTAGCAGTAATTACCATTGCAACGTGGTTGCGCTCGTATCGAACCCTCCGCCAAAAAGGTCAATCAACACCGACAGCAGCCGGTCACGTGTGAACATATTCTTGGTATTCTTATCCGATTCCCCGTGATCCAACCAAGCATCCACGAAATCCCGCGGATTCCCCGGTACTCGTGTCGATTCATGCTCTTTGATCAGTCCGCGAATAAACGTCTTGGTATCGCGAAAATTCCCAAGATACACGCGGTAGTCTTTGTGCGGCCACAACCGCAGCCAAGGAAATGCGCTAACCAGCATTGCCGAATTGACCAACTTGAGCGCCTCACTCATTTTCTCGCCAATGAAACTAAACCCCGCCTCCTCATGGTGGAAGCGTTTACCAATCAGCAGCGCAGAAATGATATTGGCCGTCGCCGTGGTCAGTGCGTTGCGCGGGTTGAACGGTGATCCGTTGGTTCGCCGGAATTCCTCAACCAGGAGATCGGCTTCGTTGAGGATGATGTTCTGCATGTCGGTCTTACCGAATCCGAAACTGCGCAGACTGACCAAGGTGAAACGGCGGATTTCTTTGGAGACATCGTCCACGCCGCTTGTTAAAATTCCTAACCACAACATTGATACAACAAATATTATTTCTAAAAATTAATAAGAAAATGAACTACATAGGTTAAAATGTGCGTATGTTTCTACACGTTTATATTAAGTGCTTGTGTTTGTAACTTTGTACTTCTTTATAGAAGGATACATATATACTGTATATGTTTATACAGTTATGTTGATGTAAATACATATGTTTACATAGTGTTTATTTTTGTGCATGTTTTAGTTTATATACATAAATATGTATGTTTACATTATATATATGTTTAACTAGTATGTTGTTAAAAAATTGTACTGACCGGTATCTAATTCTGGGAACCGCAAGTCATGTGGACGATCCGCGAATGACCAAGCCTTTTCGATTGTGGCTTCCCGAAACAGCCGATAGGATGTAATACACGCGCTGTTCCTAAAATACCGGTAACACATCATTTCCATTTGTTTATTCGGATTTCAGCGGCTTTTTATTCTGGACTTACAGTAGGCCGATTTTTATGCGAAACATTCCGCCATATTTCCGTCCCGTCTCCAGGAACTTGAAATGCCGTCGCGGACCGGGTGAGAGGAAAAAATCCAGATTCCCCAGAATGGGCCATCCCATTGGACCGGGAGGGAATTTCACCGTGGATCTTTGCTGCCAAAAATACACGGCGACAGCGATAACGACAAAGGCAACCGTTACGACAACGATGTCAACCATTTTTGTCTATTTCCAAATGATCAGACAGACATTTACTACCAGTCTACCAAATTAGCAAACTCTAATGATAATTATTATGGTTACATATGGTACATGCGCCACGCTTGCCGGCTTTTTGTATAAAACGCTGATGTCGCATATTTCTCGTATCAGTTTCAGCAAACATTTATACAAAGATTAGATAGCAGTTAATCATTTCACGTTTTGCAAGCCCCATCCTGCACTGTAATAGGTCAGAAACTGGAACGATCCGGCATGTAGAAAAGATTGCTGCACGACTGCGATTTTAACCTTATCATCGTTATCACATATCAGCTATCTTGTCAGTTCGCTATGTGATACTGCAAAAATTATCGTTTATCTTGGCTGTTTTATCGTGTCTCGTCTCCACGGGATGATAGCAAAGTTTATACAAAACTACAACTGTCTGCTCTTGTAAAGAGATTTTTTTGGCAAAATTTTTGGCGGAGAAAGTGCTTAATAAACTTTATTGTGGTACTGTTATCTGCTGCGATATTTACGATTGTGACTAATGACTATTGACTACTGTACATAATTGTGAGTTTCAATTTACAAGATAAGTGACCTTACAAGAACACAAATAGCTACGGCTTAAGCCATTTGCAAACTCAGTACATATGTAAATACATGTACCTATGTCTTTACTTGTGCAAAATTTCGACAAACATCTGCACCATTTGCGACCACATGAGTCAAGCAAATTAAACAAAACTCCACTTTTGTTTAGGAATTACTATGTCGTGTTATAATCTAAACAATACATCATGCTGTATTTCCGGACTGTCAAGGAAAACGATTTGCAGGGCACATACATACAACCTATTATACGTATACTCTGTACATTGTCCTACTCAAACTCTCGGCGGATCCTGATGTACGATTTACCAGTTAGTCTGTATTCACGGAAGTAAACTATGCAAATTACGATGTTGTACGCATTAAGAAATGCTTGCTTAGACCTGTCAGTAGCTCTACTAACTTTTCTAGTTTTCCCTAGCTCTTAAACTGTTTTCCCTAGCTCTACTAACAGTTGCAAGTATATTACGTAGGGCAAACCGTTCTTAGATTAAACAACCATTTTCGCTTAAAGTTTCACAGAAAACTATCAGCATAAGTGCAGCTTAAAACATAACGTAGTTCCAAATTTTTCAGGTGTTTCAGGTAGTAAGCAAGTACAGATGAATGGTAACTGTAACTGCAGTGACCTTTACCGTGCCTAGTCATGAGACTGGTCGCGGTAAAGATGCTCACGATGATTGAACACACACATTAGGTAGTTCGTACCGGTAGCACTAGATGCGCTTTATTTCACCTGTGGTACAACGTAATTTTAGAATACTTAATTGAAAACATCGACATTTCCTTGTAACATCAAAATTTCATTAAACTGTTCTGCTCCTTCCATCGTTCCCATAACCGATGCCGCGTTGCCGCGCTGTATCTCCAGTGACAATCTTTGGCGTAAAAATTCATGGGAACGGGCTTCGCCTGTGTGTTGCTCGAGTCGCTTACCCAGTGCTTTGATAATGGCGATAGCGGATGGTCCCCAAGGGCCCATGGTTTCGAAAGCTATCGGTGCGAAGATGTATCTGCCACTTAGATACAAATAAATCCGGGATTTCTTCTCTTCCGTTTCCAATGCCGCTGCACCTGCGTTTGCTGCCGTAGACCTGACGTGGATGGCGCAACCGTGGGATGGCACTAGATAGTGATTGTTCACAGTGCAATGATGCAATCAAATGTGTCGCGGTCGGAAATCTCGCCGCACCTTCACTTAAGCTTGCAATTCTATTGTCTGCAGTGTTTGGCATAATTAATCTAACGAGCCTGATCTGCGTAAGTAAGCGATCTGGGATTTTGTTTTCTTGGGGCTTTCCCTATTCCCGATGATTCCCAAAATCCCATTCACTGCAATTATTCCGATTTCCCGTATACAATAATTGCATCAGCAGTCTGGATTGACGTATAAGCACGCCTTCAACTGTGTATCAAAATTCAAAACTCAGACAGCATGCACACAACCATGCTAGCGCTTCCGGCTGAAGACGGTAGTCACGGTACTTCTCAGACGTTATCTAACACCATCATTATCATAACAACATCGTTAACCACGATCGACATAAGGCGTGTTCAGGATAATCAGCGAGCATATGCTTGATTATAATCAAAACCTCGCGCGGCTGGATTTCCATTTACTTTAAATTGCTGTCTACTCATCGTAGATCTAGTATTCGGTACCATCAATATGTACCACAACGTACCAACACGATTAACAAAACAGCTGCGAAAAAAATGGACAGTAGCGCGAGTTTGCTTGATTTATATGGACGTATAGACGCACAGCATAACCTGTCTATAGTTGGTCATAATGATTCCTCACTGGCCCGTTACAATGCGGAGGAATTCCACCGGCACACCATGGAATATGTCGAGCAGGAGTTGTTAGGACCGCAACGTGTCAGTCCCGACTGGCTGCTAATATTCTTATGTACGGTGGATACCCTGATTTTACTCACCGGGATCGTGGGCAACAGCGTGACTATCTGGGTTATTAACCGCAATCCGCGCATGTACACTGTCGGTGTGAATATTTATTTAATCAACTTGGCGGTGTCCGATTTGGTGCTGCTGATCCTGGGACTTCCGTTTGAGATATACGTGCGTAAAGGCTTTGAATTTTTGACAAACCGTTCAGTTGTTACATTAATTGATTACCGATATTAGGCTAGCGAGTACTGAGTTGCTAACGCGGTCGAAAATTGTTATTGTATTAACGTAGAACCTTTTCGAAGTATATCCTTATCCTTTTACGGAGCAAGTTTGTCAAGCACGGGCCTGGCTGACCGAAGCCTCCACAATATCGAGCTGCCTGACGATTCTTGCTTTTGCGGTTGAAAGGTAATCAGTTTTGCTCATGTTGACATTTGCTAACATCTCGTAATTATACAGTAATAATTAAGGGAAGTGGCCCGGTACATGGTACCAAATTCGTGTACATGCACGGAATCCTTCACTTTCGCGCACTCTCAAACCCTTTTTTCTCTTGTTTTATGACATTCTGTAGCCAAATTATTTGTATACACTGACCTGAAAACCGTTTGCGCGCGCAACATCCGGTTCGCGAGTTATGGGTATTAGAAAATTCCAAAAAGGTGTACCAAAAAGGTGCATTCAGGTGTACCAAAAGTCTCATTTCGGACCGATCTCTTTCAGATTTTGCACGTAAATGCACATAACCACGAAGAACGTTTTTACACCGATCCACAGTTCTAGCATGTTTTTCAAATTTTAAAATGAATTTCAAAAATGTTAAAATTCATTTTAAAATTTGAAAAAAATCGTGGAAGTCTGGATCAGTGTAAAAACGATCTTTATGGTCATGTGCATTTACGTGCAAAATTTGAAGGAGATCGGTCCAGAATGAGACTTTTGGTACACCTGAATGCATTTAAACTTCTGGGAGTTTTCTTACAGCCATATCTCCCGAACCGGATTTTGCGCGCACAAACGGTTTTCACACCAGTGTGTACAAATCATCTGGCTACAGAATGTCATAAACCGAAACAAAAATGTGTTTGGGAGTGTGCGAAAGTGAAAGTTTCCGTGCATGTGCACGAACTTGGTACCATGTACCGGGCCACTTCCCTTAAGCTGCCCTCTGTCATGCCTTTATAAAAATTATGCTGTTCCATAAAGTTTTAACCACAGCGGTGCATAACGAGTAAAAATTCAAGTCACCTTTAAGTACGTTGTATAAGGCAGAATAAAAGGTCGGCTGGGAGACGGAGAACCGCACACTGCATGCCATATTTGTCACAACCATGCATGGGATTATAACTGCGACAGTGCGTACTGTGAATGTGCACTCCCCAACTGACCTTTCGATCACAGAGTGAAATTTAATGAACTAACGCCGTCTGATATTCGTAAAATAATACGAGGAGCGATCTAAGAAAATTCACATCTAAGCAAAATTACTGCTGTATAAAACTGGAAATGATTAGTGTAGCAGATTTTCTATGCACAGATACATTGCCATTTGTCACCCGTTTGAAAGTATCCACTTCCAAGCTAAAACCTGGCGAGCCGCACTGGCGGTCATCATGATATGGATTGTGGCGTTTTGCGCTGCTGCGGTGTTGGCTCTCGCACATTATGTTTACGAGTTCCCATATCCCACAAACGCTGACTGGACCAGTCACCTCCAGCCGGGAACACTGATACCGGAATCAGCCATCTGTACCGCACGGGCTGGTCAAACCGAAATAGTATTGCAAATTAGCACTTTTCTCTTCTTCTTCGCACCGATGCTGATCATCATTGTTCTACACATTCTTATCACCGTTCATTTACGGCGATTATCACATAATCTTATACCAAAAAAACAAAGCCCCGCTGACGACGCGGCGGGGGATACGGAAAAAACACAGGCACATAAGGCTATACTCAGGATGTTGGGTAGGTCACGGCATACACAGATATCATAGAAGTATGCATGACGACATGTGTAGTGTGTAATAAGTTTGCGTGCAGATGTAAGTAAACCACCATACCGTACAAAAAATCATGCTCGAACCAAATATAGCATTATGTATCCTTTCGACAATGACCAGGTATTGTGACTGCCATTATACTCGGACTAATACTTCTGTTACAGCACGTTGAGCATTAATTATAAACTGGTAGACCCTAGCGAGAAGACAGGTGACCTTTATTTTGTTCATCTATTTTTAGTGGCAATCGGGGTTGCTTTTTTTCTTTGTTATGCCCCATTCCATGTACAAGTAAGTTAGAGATTCCGAAGCTGATTACATTTGACAAAGCTTATAAAATATTTGTAGCTAACGTAATTTTTTCCGCTTATTTAATATGCAGCGCCTTCATTCCGTTTACGAAAAAGATTGGAATTCCGTCGGCTTAGCGGTTAATCGCGTGTTGCTTTATATATCCGGTAAATGAGCATACGAGTACTTGTTACGATTAATTAGTGCATATAAAGTAATTAGCATTGTTAGTGCATGCATGCTGCTAATGTTCTGTTGTACAGATACATAGCTTACGCATTTACTGTCTCGATGACTTTTTATTCGCGTAATGAGCAACAAAATTTTTAACACATTTTACATAATCGTGAGAAATTCTACATTAATGATAACACACAAGCGAGTTACACCGCAACATTTACTGTCAGTTATGCGGTATAACGATTTACGCCGGCGTCAGTCAAGTTACTATAGCAAGTCAATTTTAATGATCGATTTACAAAATATTATTTTGACAACTCATAAAAATTATTTTTCTTCGTTATACAGGTGTGTTTTACTACGGTGCAGCTACGGTAGGTGCAGCATGGGCTACGTTTGCCAAAAGCCTTTGACAATCGATGTTTTTCTCGTTTCCATAAAGTCGAATACACATTAACGTCGAAATATGCATATGTTTCCGAAACTGCTCTAAAATGTTTGAGGAGAGTACGTATGTGTATAAATGTAAACGTATAAAATTATTTTTACATATCAATGATTGTTAGTTAGTTATTGATACATCCATATTCCTGTACAGGCACGCATTCCGTCATCTTTCAGGGCGGTCGTATGTATTACTACTGTACATAATGAAAACTGCATGCATCTATCTTCACTTTGTCCTTTATAGGTGAATCCCTTTTTATACTCAATCCTATCCGCACGGTTTCGGCAGGCTTGTCGCTCCAGCTTGGGGGCTTGTTTGGGGCAGCGTTATAAGCGGTTTCAGGCGAGACCGTCTAATACGTCACCTAATCACGCTTTCATGTATAATCCGGCTGGATCGGGAGAGCTGGCCTCTGTTGAGGAAACACGGACCTCGGGCCACGGCTAAGCAGATAAAAAAGAAAAAGTAGCGTAGTACGTAGAAAAGTAGCGCCATAAAGATTAGGGTACCCTTATAGGCACCCCCTAAAACCCCCGTATATTATAGGCACCCCTTTTCACACCCCGTTTATTATAGGCACCCTTTTTAAATTAATACGATATATAACAGATGCAGTATTCTCAGACTGTACAGTAGTGCAGTTTTATTCTGATAATACGTAGTACAATAACTTTTTCTGGCGGCCACCACGGGTCCACGATCCACTTTTTCCGCTCTGTTGCGGACGTTCGGTCTAAAACTGCTCTTCATGCTTCTGTGCGTTTCCTTGCGAAATTCGAATGAGATTGATTAATAACGACTATTAACGAGAGTTTTGGTACATCTGAATGTATTTAAACTTTTTGGAATTTTCGAGCAGCCATAACTCCCGAATCGGAAGTTGCGCGCACAAATGGTTTTTACGCCAGTGTATACAAACCATTTGGCTACAGAATGTCATAAAACAAAGCAAAGAAATGTTTCGGAGTGCGCGAAAGCGGAAGTTTTTGTGCATGTTTGTACACGAATCTGGTACCATGCACCGGGCCAAATCTCTTAAAGCCTGGGAATATTTGCCAATATTGAGAACCAGAATCACTGATGCAGTGATGTATATGTAATATGTAAAGGTATGTACAACCCAATTACGTTGACCTTTTGTCCATAGTAAGTTTGAAGTTTGTACGGTCACAGGAACTGTTCGAAACAATAAAAATAGTTTTTGGAGTATGTGAATAATATTCCGTTCACATTTATTTAATTCAAAATGGGTGCCTATAATAAACAGGGTGCGAAAACGGGGTGCCCATAATAAACGGGGGTTTTAGGGGGTGCCTATAACGGTTTCCTAAAGATTAACCTTTCATACGAAAACGTATTAACAAGTTACATTGCAGCAGCAGGATCACCGGACATGAACGACGATGTCAAAGCCTCAAAGGTCACATTCTGGGCGTTTTATTTACGGATGCAATTCATGCAGAACTGTATATCTATATTCTAGCGTTTTTGTAACAATTATCTTGTTTGTTGACGTATTTTAAACGAGAAATGGGAGTTGGTCTTTGTTTGCTGCATTTTACATCCAAAAAATTGCCACAAATGTGCTGCTCATGCCGGCGCCGGCCTCATAGTTCTATCTGTATGTAGTTAAAAAGGAATAATAAATTACTGTATCTCTAAATAATGCAGGGTATTGCATATCCCTTTAATTTGTACTAGTACGATCGTACATCTGATGCTGGTTAAACTTCAGAACGCTACTAAAGCTCCACATGTCGCAGTACACAACAATTGAGGGAATTACGTAAAGACGGTGATTTTGTATTTATCGTTAAAGAGCAAGTACAAGTACAATAACGGGAAAAGCGGATAAAGAATCTGTAGCATATAGAAATGCTTTTATATACAAGTCATGGCGGTACAAAAACCTTCACAAGTTATCTATGAAAGTAGATTTTCACCGATTACACTGCCTCAGTCGACAACGGGAATACAGATACAGTACATATGCGGCAGAACGCAGAATATTCGTCTAAAATCTAAATCAGCCGATGCTGGAGCTGTTCCCATGACAGAAGCAGCGTTTCCGCGTTAGCCTTCGATGCTGATCCGCTGGCGCAGATACTCCGTCGTCCGTTTCTCGGCTGTTTCCTGTAAAAAACCTGTTGCCGGTTGAGTTTTAAAACCAAAAAAGGAAGTGAAACCTTTGTGCACACTGCACAGTGACGTTACCTGCTCGAGTGCGCAGCGCACGACCGCCCTATGTCGTCGTTACGTGCATACAAGGGATTGTGGATGCCAGAGGCCCAGAAGTTGTGCTTTGTTAGTTCATGTTGCACTGTTTTGCTCCATTGCAGGAAATCAGGAATCAGTTTTATTTACAGACGCACATTCTGAGTCTGAGTGGAAGTTTCCTGCCTAGCAGCAACTGCAGTAAAACATATTCCAGTTTCAGTGAGCTTCGTATTCTTTATTGCTTCGAGAGAGCGCGCAATGGCCGATGCAGAATCCCAGATCGCCAATCCAAAGGACCAATCGCTCGCTCCGCCTCGCTCCGCAGCTTTCCAAAGGTGCGCCTGTGAATACGGTTTAGCGGAGGATTTGGATCTGTACACCTCGTTCAAAATGTTGTTGCACTTTTTGGGATTCTACTTTGTATTATTTTGCAGTTCCTACGCCTACAAATCAGTACAGACCAGATTGCCCGTTACGCTGACCAAGATTGTCGACCATCTCAGCCGCTATAAGGATGAGATTTCTTCCGGGAATTATAGGACGTATCTGCATGATCCACGGACTAGCAGGATGTCGTCAGAGGAGCAATCATCACATCAAAACGTACGAATGCAGCGTTGCAGACTTGCAGTATGCGCAGCAAATGTGTGTGCATTATTGCATTTCTTGCGTTTTTAACTGTTTTTGATTTTGCCTTTGAGCAATAAAATTTGTAAAATGATGAATAATGAATAATTAAATTTTCAGGCTTTGTTAGATCGTTTTTTCCGTGTAGCTTCAAAGATTTTATCATTGAAATTGAAATTCAGCAACTGTTAATTTTCTGCTTCATTTGTGTTTGGCAATAGGTAATTACAGAATTTGCAGCAGTTGGTTTCCTCCAAGCAATCCTTTTTTCTGACCGCTGTGATTTTTTACCTGCAAAATATTTTTTGATACCATACTTCTGCTGAGCACTTGAGCAGTGAGCATTTGCTAGGTTTTGCAGATTTTTTATGGGTTTTTTGGATACATTTTGTTGGAAAATATTTTTCCATTTTATTTAGCAGCATAAAGAATTTTGTAAAAATGTTATTAATTTTAATAGTGTGTTTTCTGTGTACAATAGTCAGTAGTTATCACTGCTGTGGTAGCGTTAAGTCGGTTATCCTAAATTAGTTTCTTATTTCAGGAAAGGGAAGAAGAGCTGAAGCAAATTGTCGGAGCCTTATCCAAACTGCGCAATGAAGTGCAGACAAATAAACTCATCACGCCTTTCCCCATCCCACCGGAAACCGGTGACCACCGTAATTATTTCGCCGATCTTCCGGAATGGAATAAAGCCCTGCACGCGCCTGCTGCTCAGAATCTGCTGTATGCCGACGAACAGCCGAAATGGTTCGAATCGCCGTGGATGTTTGTGGAAGCCTATCTGTATCGGCGCGTTATGTACTCCGTTCAACAAACGTATGCGGAGTGATGACTTTTATGACGTTTGTAAAAGGCTGAATAAAAATTGGTATTTGCCTTTGTAGGACCTATTTGCACGATATGGATCCCTTTCAGTGGGAGAAGGCTCAGTCGATAGAGGATAATCAGGAAAATATTGGGAAAATTCTCAAGTTTTTGGATTGTTTGCTAAAGGATGTCATTGGCAGAGACGCTTCCTCGGACGCAGTTGCAGGAAGATTTAAGGAAATTCTCAAGGTGAAGAACGAAATCTGTAAATCTCTCCGTTGTGCGCTTTCTCATCTGTTTATCAGTCCTACGAAATTTATATGCAGTTTGTTAATGAATATGCATTTATTCGGCAATGGCCAATTCAGGTAACAATGAGATTGCGCAGGTAAAACTATTTAAAATGATTCAAAATTTAAATGAATATTGTAGTGCAGTGTATCAAGTTTAAACAATCCACTGGTGTCAGATTTCTTATGTGCTCGCCTAATATGCTGCTGAAATTTGTCTGCGCATTTGAAACGTATGTTTTTGGTATATTTATGTAGTTATCTAGGTAAATTTAATGATAACAAACACCTTTCCAGTAATTGTTTGTTGCAGGATACAAGAACTCAATCAGCTCCTGCGGTTTCTTTCGCAGACATTTGAAAACGGAAATTATGGTTTTTTGCTAAAAATTGTTTGAGTCGTTATGAAACATGCTTAAATCACTTTTCTAGTACTCAGTAGGTGTCTGCAGTAACTAGTATTGAATATTTATTGTGTTTTCAGCTATCGCTGTGGGGCAACGAAGGGGATCTATCCCATCCAGTGGGCAAGAAATGCTGCGATTCCGATTCATCTCACCACACAGACGCCAAAAACTCAAAAGAAAAGAAATCTGATGTCAGATCCAAAGAGCGAATACTGGTAATGGACCAAACCGATGAAATCTGGAATTACCTATCTAAACTCCGAGCGTCTTCCCAGCCAATGCGGATCGACATCGTCTGTGATAACGCCGGCCTAGAGCTCATCACCGACCTGGTCTTCGGGACATTTTTACTGGAGACCAAATTAGCCAGCGTAATCCATTACCACGTCATGCAGTTACCGTGCTACGTCTCCGACGCAACAGTATCCGATTTCTACCACGCCATCCAGTTAGCCAAGCAGCACAATCCCCAAATCAGTGCCAAATGGGAGGAATATCTGCACAACGGGCAGTTTATCGTGAAAAGTGACGGCTTCTGGTCGTTGCCGTGGGATTTCGACCATATGGCACAGCGTGCGCCGGAATTGTACCGTGATCTGGCTACAGCGTCGTTGATTATCTTCAAAGGGGATCTGAATTATCGCAAGCTGGACGGCGATCTCCAGTGGCCACCGGCGACGCCCATGCAGCGCGGTGTCCGGGGTTTCGCGCCGGCGGCGTGGTGTGTACTGCGGGCGTTGAAGGGCGACACGGTGGTGGGACTGCCCAAAGGTCGCGCCGAGGAGATGCAGGCACAGGATGACAACTGGATGACGACGGGGAATTTTGCGGTGGTGCAGTTTTTCCGGCAGAAACCGGCGTGAATGTGTGATCGGTTGAACTGATGCAAGTTAGTGGTATGATTAATCTTGTTGATGGAATGAATTGTTATTTGTTTTAGTCTTATTTATTGAATTGCATGAATCTGCGCGGTGGAACGATTAATGGGTATTGTGCAATTACAGACAATCTACAATGCGGCACTTGTTTTAATGAATTTTGCTGAATATTCATGTGCACAGCCGGTAAATAAAATTTCATTGCTGGAGACAATACCAGTTGTATTTTTAACTGAAAAGATAAGTCAATCTGTTTAGATCATCATCGATAAGAAACAGATTTTCACCAGGGATATACAGCGCCCAGGTGCCTGTGTTGTATTGGTATTGCATACTGTAATCAACCACAAGTACACAACCATGAGTATTCTGACATTAATAATTTTAGTTTAAAAACATTAAGCAGGAAAACGCATGCTTCTATTTTTCGGCGAAATTGCTCATATTAATATTATTGCCCCATCACCTTTTTGTAGCTGCATATGTACAATACGCGCGGTTTTAAGCAACATATTGCGATGATGTTTCTGTGTACTTGTGCAGAGCAGGTTCCTGATGGGCACCAGTGAACCGACGTTTTAATGCGGAACCTTGGGGAATATTCGTGATTATCATTGACAAAGGGTTTCTTATGGATAGAGCGAGAATGTGGACGTTCATATGGATTCTGGAGGTCATTTTGACGTGTTCCTTATCATTACGGGTAATATATCGGTACTTTTACACTCTTGTACACTATCAGCCTATAGCATATTGTCATGGATTTGAATGATTACAAACTGCGGCATATAAATATACGCTGCGCTATTCGAAGTGTAGCAGCCAGTAAGGTTCAACAGTTTGAAATCATTTCTTCAAGCAATAATACTCGTATATTGGTATTATTTATTGCAGGTGTGTGCGGAGTCTGACGACGCCGCGACGAAACTGCGTATCGAAGTGAAGCTGGTGCAGTTCAGCAATCCGGACGGTATTCTGTACAACCGGAAACGCTGCGATTTCATGACACCATGCGACCCCACTATCTTCGCTTACGTAGATCTGTATGCCTGCTTTTGTATAAAGCATGATACGAATTTCCGGATGATTTCCCGCTAATTTTTCAATCGTTTTTTGCATTAAGTTTCAATACAGATATTATGTCACCGATTATGAATATTAATAAACAATTTAACATGTGATGATTGCAGAGAAAATCCCGACGCTCGCCGACTTGATTTTGAACAGGATTCACACAACTTTCAAAAGATCCGGAGTGTGTGGGACACGAATATCGTTGACTTAGATGAAACAGTTCGTAGGGATATTTCCGTCCCGGCAAACGGCACGCAGGTTCGTCAAAATTGATATTAATTGTTTTGTTTGAAATTTAAGCATATTCTTACTGACAAGTGAGAATCGTGAGATAATAATAGCATGATAATTATCCCTTCGTATGTTGTACGTTAAAATAAACTTATACAATTTACTGTCTATTTACTGTTAGTACCACTTATGTATTTAGGCCGCTTCGCTTAAATTTCTCTGAATTTAGCACATTGCGATGGTTTACCGGAGCGGTTCGCCATATGGGCGTTTAGTTTTACGACTTATATTTTCCTATGTTATTATTACATAATAATAATGTTGTGTTGCTGTTTTTGTTAGTATTACGTTATTATTACTCGTTAATTAAATAATGTTTCAGTCAGGTTATTCTGATATTGATGCGTAAAACTTAAAAGTTAAAAGGGCGTCAGAAGATACAGATACTTATTGGCATTGATCTGAAAATAATTCGGTAACTAGGAAGTTAGAGCATCTTTGCCAATGGTATTACGTGGTTTTTTTGTACATTACCACAATTACTGTTGACCCCCTGGAATTCATATAATATATAGAATATTTATTTTGGAGACGGCGACGGTGCGGGTAAAGGTCCAGGATTACGACCACACCAATCATTTTGATCCCATCGATAATTTCGAATGCAAGATCAGTTTCTCTGCATCCTCGGTTTCCGATCAGTGGTCGGATGTTGTAACGTGTCAGGGAATTAATCAGCCCGATAAAATCAGGTGAATATCGCTTCCTTTAAGCGTATCAATAATATCACGCCCACTTGATGGCTAATGTTTTTCGATATGAGTAGTAATAAACTATTCTTATTATTTTCATTAATCGTAAGTAAGTACATGCTGCAGTTATGTGCATGAGAGTATTTGTTGTGACATAAGATGCCGTTTTGTAGCTGTAATGGTTGACCGTATTTTCAGTATTAAATTCCGCTGGAGGATCGCACTGACGCCAAAGACCAAACGCTGAGTCGCTGACCGATATTGTTATTGCAATACGATTACCTATTTTGTATGTTAAAAACATTATGAATTACGTGGTTAATTACCCTAATTTATGTTCTATCTGAACGTTTTCTAATTATGGGATGACTTTTCCCTTTATGCTTATTGTATACATAAATAAAAATAATTATTATAAACAAGGTCTTACGATATAACGAATCATAACCTACGTACCTTTACTTTTAATTTAACAGTTTGCTTGAGTATTGTTAATAAGTTGCGGAAGTCACTGGGAAGAGGGAACGCATTTATTCACACAGTGTGATAGATTTCCCATAAACTGCGTTTGCCAAGCGAACCAGAGTGGTCGTTGACCCAAGCCAAACCAAAACAAAACGTTTTGATGAGTTTTGCTCGTTGTTGCTGATCATGGACACACCGGGCTAACTGGACAGTCTGGGCTGCGCATTACGCGCTGTTCTTCGTTACAAATTTATCATCTGTCAGCATAGTCCTGTTTTCTTTTTGGAAAATGTTAA